GAGGGATGGAAAGTGTCTTGCCCCAGGCCTAGCACATTGTGGGCACTGGATGTGATGAGAAACCAGGTCAGGAAGGAGGAATGAAATCATACTTACTTTGTTGTTTGCTTCAGAATCAACTTGGAGAGGTGAGTCAGATCCAGTAGGCTGGGGGCCCCCCGGGATCTGTCTTTATAATGTGTCCCCTGCCCAGATGTCTCTCTGTAGGTGGCCGGGGGGGGCCACTGCGCCTGGAGAAATGCAGGATCTGAGGGGGAGGAGGCAGGAGCGGAGGTGCAGACGGCTGGGCTGCCTCGGCGGGGGATGTCAGCTCCTCTCTCACTGGAAGCTTTTAGAGTGACCGTCTCAGGGGCAATCCAGCCTGAGCTTACGGGCCAGGAAGGATGCAGGTAATTTCGGTGTATCTGATCTTCTAACACACTGAGAACCGTGATGGATACATTTTTCTCTCCCAGATAATGCAATATCCAATAACATGGATGGATATATAATAGTTCACATGTAGTTAGTTAGCACCTCCCCTGAGTCAGGCATTAAGTGAGCACGTTATGTGTGCTAATAGAAAGAGAGTGAAATCATTTTCCCCATCTCACGGGTGAGGAGACTGAGGCCCAGAGAGGTCACGTGCCCAAGGTCACACGGCCTAACAGCAGGGGTTTGAGCCTAAGCTGTGCCCCCTTCAGGATGTCACGTCCTGTGAGGGCGCTACAGGCCGGGGTCTCTGGCCCGTGCCTGTGCTTCCAGGCAAGGGACCGAGGAGCTGGGTGGGACTAAGTGGGGTGCAAGTGTGAGGGACTGTAGCCCTTCAGCTCACCGCGCCTCCGACCCTCTAGGGTCCTCAGCTACTGCCCGGGACATCTGTGACATGGCTGCCGGGGCAGCTCCACTCAGTTCACAGTCAAGGCCTGACCTTTCCGCTCGGGCATGTGGCCTCGGACAAGGTGCCTCACTGTTGGGATCTGGGGCTGCTGTGAGCAGTAGAGAGACCGGGTTCCACCCCGGGCCCAGCACAGCGCCCGACATGGAGGAGCCCAACAGACAGCCTCTCCCTGTTGTCACTGTTCAACAGCAGGGATGCGGCCATGGCGACGTGACCGGGGTTTTGCCGCCCCACCCAGGCCCCACACAGAGGGCAGGCGCGCAGCTGGTCTTTCTCTCTGCCCAGCCACCAACCGTTGCCCCTTCTTCATGTAAGAGCACTGCCACCTGAACCAGGTAACTCGTATTTCTATAGCGCACAGCTGGACTGATTCCACGGGGAAGCTGCGCGCTGGCACTTACTGAGTGCCAGCGGTGTCCCAGGCACTGCCTGTGACTGATTCATTCGATCCTCAGGACAAGCCTGTAAAGCGGGTCCCAGTGTTCCCCCTCGTGGATGTGGAAACTGCCACTCAGAGCGGTGTGGCAACTCGTGCGTCACAGATCTGGGACGCAGATTTGATGAGGTCGGCCTGCGTGAGCCATTGTTCGTCACTGCGATGGACTTTCCCAGGAGGGGCACTTACTCATTCAATAAATAGGCACCGACGGTTCACTGTGTGCCTGGCAGGGTGCTCCCCGGGGTTGGAGCCTCACGGGCAAGCCCCGCCCTCAGGGAGCACCCAGCAGGGGGCACCCAGCAGGGGGCACAGACATGTTGTGACTCTTGGGCCAAGTCCAGGTGGCAGCAGCTGCCTGTGACCTCGTTGTCTGAGGATTCTGAGCCACTTGTGGGCTCAGCGGGGAGTGCAGAGGCTGATTACTCAGGCCTGCCAAGGGCGCTGCAAGGAAGTGTCTGGGCGTCCGCTGTGTGGTGGACACTTGTTTTACTTTTGAAGGTTGTTCAGACAAATGCGTAAGGAAGCAGAAATGTATCCAAGTCAGAGCACATGTTCCAGTTTTTATTTTGAAAACAGCCACTGCAGGGAAGGATAAGTAGGCCCTGCCTTCAAGGAACCTGGGGTCTGGCTGGCAGTGCACAGGATGCATGAGCAGCCCAAGGTGGTTACTACTGTCACAGAACAAACTGGAACATATGACCCAGCCCTCCCAGGTGGGGCGGGACCCCTGATGGCCATGGCCAGGGGAGCGCCCTGGAAGGGGAGCCCAGAGTACCTGGCTGCGTGGAGTGGGGGTGGGGCGGGCTGTTCAGAAGCAGTAGCACAGGCAGAGGGGGCTGGGCTGAAGTGGGGATGGGAGGGATCCCAGCCTGGCTGGGGCAGAGGTGTTGGGGGAACAGGGTAGAAAAGGTGATAAATGGGGCTCAGGGTGGACCATGGAGGCCTCAATGTCAGGTCTGGGAGCTTGGGCCTGACTGTAACCCACCCCCTTTGACCCTCCAGTGGGGGGCTACTGGAGGCCTTGAGCGAGGTCATGCCCAGTGAAAGGGACTTCTCAGTGGCTGGAGCAGGGTAAGTCAGAAATGGGGGTGGCTAGAACACCGTGGAACGGAAAGACAGGTCCTGTGTGTAAGTGGGGGTCTGGGGACCAGGTCCTAAGTCCTAAGAGGTGCTGTGTGACCACGGGCAAGTCCTTTGCCCTTCTGGGCTGGTTTTTCTCCATCTTCTCTTAAAGGCCCTTTTACCTCATGAGGGGTGTGTGTGTGGGAGGGGGAGGGCCGTCACTTAGTTCAGTCAGAATCTAGTTCTTACTTTTCGTTGGCCTTGAAGACCTGGCCTGGGGTGGGCCCCTCACGCATGGCTTCCTTACATCATGCTTCACGACTGTGTGGCACAGCCCTGGGCGTGTCTGCACGCCAGCTGCACACAGCATTTCCCCACGGAAGAGAACACAGGACCTCAGAGCCACTTTCCAGCTGTGTGACTTGGAGAGGGCCTGTGCCTCTCGTGCCTGCTTCCCAGGGATGAACGGCCCCTGAGGGGAGGCCTTCAAAGCCCCTGGGGCGGCACCTTCTGCTCCGCAGGCGGGACTGAGGGAACGTCTGGACCGGTCGAGAGTTTTTATGAGTGTACTTGAGTCGAACTGACAATTGCTGGGAAGCAAAATCTCAACGAAATAAGAAAGTGCTCCGGAGGAGGCAGTTTGCAGCTTACTGTGTACATCAGAATCAAAGGAGAAGACATAAGGATGGTTCCGTGACACTCACTGGCGGTGGGTAAGGGGGTGGGAGAAAGCAAGTGGAAGAAATCTCTGGGGCTGGATAAAAAGTAGAACAAAGAGCATACGGTTCTGTCACACTAGTGGGTGCAGGCGAGTTCATGACTAACACTCAGTGCACAGCGATGGTCCTTGGGGAGTAGCGGACATGGAGGGTTCCGTGGTCTCTGCTGTGGTGTGGGGGTGTCAGGGTCTGGAAAAGGTACTCTGACATTTCAGAAATATTGTTATCTTAAATGCAAAGGACAACAGACGGGCTCACTTAAGGTAAAGATTGACTTTGGCAAGGCAGCTACGGGCTGAGGATGTGACTGCCCCCCAGACCCACTATTGGGAATTTTTACGTTCCGACCATCCTACCCAGTTCCCTTCAGTCTCTGAGTCTGTGGGGCCGCCATGCCGGCCTCCCCTGAGCTTGTCAGGTTTAGTGTGTGGCCCCTTTTTTGTGCACAGCACTCAATAACAAATGCTTCTCTTGCTATTGTCCCTGTCAGGTTTCCTGCGGGGACTCTCGGCCGGCCGTAAGCTCCTCAGAGGAACAGTTATCTCCTCCACGGGGCTGAGTCCCATCCGGGGCCCCAGTCAAGACCTGATACCCACAGCTAGTGCAGCTCCGCCCAGGCTTGTCCTGGGGACCGTGACATGGGGCTGCCCGGCCTGGTAAGCAGCCAGATACTTGCCCCACCCTGTGTGGGTGCCCTGTGTCACTCACAGGGAACTGCCCCGCCCACAGGTCCCAGTACCTTCCCAGGCAGCAAGTGTAACAGGCTCCTCTGTGCAACTAACCCTACCAGGAACAAAATCCACCCCCTTTTCTGTTTAATTTTATATGATTATTCTTGGGTTATGTAACACATTCAAATGTTTCAAAATTTAAAAGGCACCAAAAAATGTGCTATAAAAAAAAATCTGGCCCTGGCTGGTGAAGCTCAGTGGATTGAGCGCTGGCCTGAGAACTAAAGGGTTGCCAGTTCGATTCCCAGTCAGGGCACATGTCTGGGTTGCAGGCCAGGTCTCCAGTAGGGGGCACGGTGCATAAGAGGCAACCACACATTGACGTTTCTCTCCCTCTCTACCTCTTTTCCTTTTTCTCTCTCTAAAAATAAATAAATAAAATCTTAAAAAAAAAATCCCCTCCTACCCCAGCACACAGCCCCTTAGTTCCCCTTCCTGGACACAACCAATCTAAATTCCTTCTTAAAGTAAATTTAATTTGTTTCCTTCTTGCAAAAATCATAAACATTCAAAGCAAAAACTAACTTTGAAACAAAACCAAACCTGACCACCTTGGAAAAGACACAAAAGCACAGACCAAACCCCACCCACCACCCAGATCTCCTGCACTTTAGTCTGGGTCCTGCCAGACTGTTTTCGGTGTGTATCCACTTTTCAACATGTGAGAACGAACTACAAGAGGAGTATGACAGTGCTGGCTTTGCAGTGTCTTCCCTCTGTCTCAGGGACATTTCCTCCTGGCTTCTTATGTAAATGGCTTTGAACGGCTGTGTGATCCTTCAGAGACACTGACTTACTGAACCAGACCCCAGTGACGGGCACTTGGGATTCCTAGGTTTCCCTATAATAAGCAACATGGCGATGGGTCCTACTTGTTTTTTGTTTTTATTTTTAAACCAATTCCTGGAAGAGGAAATGTTGGGTTACAATGTTTCGAGACCCTGGATACCCATCCAACTGTCCTCATGTCCAGCAGGACTGGTGTCCAATCAAAATCTGATTTCTCAAGGCCAAGAAATCTCAGTTCAAACCCGTTTTGACAGTGGCAGCTGCATGTGCCCCTGACCCCATCTCAGCACCCAGACAAGGCCAGAGCCCTCTTCTGGGCCTGGTGACTTCTTTGTTTACCCAGCCAGGAAGAGTCACCTGGGCCAGTCCCAGCCCTGGGTGAGTCAGCTGACCAGGGGACGGGCTCCACCCTTTTGGGAGCAGGAACCCCGCTGGGACAAGGGCCGCCACTCTCCAGGGGAAGCACAGACTCTCAGCAGCAGCTGGAGAAGGACGTCGCAGCTCCTGGCCTGCAGGTAAGAGCCACACCCCCACCCCACTGCCCCTGTAGACTGGGTCCTGGCCTGCAGGTAAGAGCCGCACCCCCACCCCACCGCCCCTGTAGACTGGGGCTGAGATAAGTGGGCTTTGTTCTCACCCTGTCCTCCTCCTTCTGGGACTTCCCAGGCAATTTCCTTTCAAGGTGGCTCCCCTCAAATGTAAATTGGGGCTTCCTCTTCTGACCCCAGCCCTGGGCCAGGTTTGGGGGCTGAGAGATCTTCTTTATCTAGATGGGAGCCCCGGGCTCCTTCTGACTGCCTACAAGGGTGTTCAAGGAGATGGGACCCATACTTTGCTTCCTGAAGTGGGCCCTTGGAAGTTCAGACCAAAGGAAGCCGATTTCCACAAGGAGCTGGGAGCACAGGCATCAGTTTCTGTACTAACTTCTCTGCCTGAAGCTGTTCTATCAACAGCCTCCCCCCCTGGCAAGGAACACCTTGGGCCAGTGGCTTAACCTCTAACAACTGGTTTCCTCACTTGGAGACTTAAAGTGGCCCCACAAAGTCAAGGGAACCAAATGAGATAATGGACATGAGAGGCCAGTAGGTACCCTCCACACAGAAGATGAAAATGGGGTTTACGAGGCTGGTGTGCTGGGCAGGCACTGCACTAGCTGCTTTATACACAGCAGCCCCAACTAATAACTCTTGTATCACTGTCACTTTTCATCGGGGCTCCCTGTGTCCACCCCGTTTCTCTATTCTCTAAACATCAGCCAGAGAGGGTCCTATTAAAATAAAAGTTGGACCATGTCACTCTGCTGCTCAAAATTCTGCAGGGCCCCATCTCACTAGGGGACATGCCAAATCCCTGCCGGACCCACCAGGCCAGGATCTGGCCCCTCTACTAGTTCCCAACCTCCTCTCCGGCTACTCCCCCCTGAACCACTAACTGCAGCTTCACTGGTCAGATGTTCCTACACGCAACAGGCACCCCTGCCTCGGGGCCACGGAAGTGGCTGTGTCCTCAGCCAGAGCGTTTTTTCTCTACACTTTAGGCTCTTACCCAAGTCCCCCATCACCCCCAGCTCCCAAGCAATGCGGCTCTTTGGTTTCCTGGTGCTCTACGCTCCACCATGCTCTTTCTCCACATCACTTCCCACCATCTAACACAGCGTATGCACTTATTTATCCCCAGCTAGAAAGTTAACACTCCTCAAGGTCGGATGTCTTTTATTCACTGCCTTATTACTGGTACCTAGACTAGTACTGGGACTTAGTGCTCAGTAAAGGTACTGAATGAAAACAGCTAATGATTACTGTGAGCCCTTTATGTGCTAGACTCTGTGCTAACTGCTTTCCATATGTAGCTCATCTCTTTTTAAGAATCTTTTAATCTGCACGATAACTTTGTGATGCAAATATTGTCACTTGTATTACAAAAGACATTCAAAAGGACTTGTCGGAGCTTGTTCCCATTAGGCAGAAGCAGCAATCTGAACTGAGTTCTTGCACCTGACCTGCCTCTCCTGGGCAAGGTTTGGGGAGCATATGCCTTCTCTGAAGAAGCCCCCAGCTTCTCTCCAGGCGGCAGTGCACCCTGTGGAGGAGGGGCTAGGGTAGAGCTGGTGGCCTAGCAACAGCCTCTTCCTTTCCGACTCACAATATCCCTGGGCTAATTTGGCCTTCCAAGAGCTCTTCCTCTGACACTCTAACCCACGCTTCCCTCCTGCACAGTCTTCTGAAGGATGGATGAGTTGTCCACAGAACAAGTGGGAGGCCCCTAGTTTCAGCTCTTTGGAACAAAGTGTTCAGAGGAATGTTCCCACTGCAAGTCCAAAGATGGGGGCTGATGACCCCTTTCAGCCCTGCTGAACTCGGAGGGCCTGACTGCTGACTTGTTGTGGGCGTTGTTATTGTTTTGATAATTTTTGTATCAAAAAGTGCTGAAGCTCAGGGATGGAAACTCTGGAAAGTGCCCTGGGAGAAGATTCCTATGGGAGAAGTGGGCTCTTTTTCTTTTGGAGGGGCTAATTAATTGCAGGAATCTATCAGTACCAAACTGAGCAGATTCCTCCACTGTCAGAGTGGAGGAGCGAGACTTCCCATCTGTCCCAGTAGGCAGACTTTGCTCTCCCAGGCCCAGGGTTTTTCTTCAACGGACCTTTTTGGGTTTTCTTTTCCTTCTGTGTCTGTTTTTCCACTTCTTTGAGAAATGGTTAACTGGACGCCTGCTAAAAGGATTCAGATTTGAACAACGTTCTTGACCCAGAGATTGAGACAGGCAAACAAACACAGAACAGTGTGCGTTCCACCCAGAAATGCCAAAGGCACTGATCACAGCGGGTGCTTGATCAATACTAGTCAAATGAATGATGACTAGCTGAATATGAGCTTCTGTGGTCTAGAGAAGGAGGCTGTGGGTGTGGACATTTGGGGGAAAACTTAGAACTGGAGTTCACCAGATGAACAAGGGGGAGAGAGAAGGTATGAATGGCATTCAAGACAAAGTGAACAGCATCCACAAAAGTACAAAGTCATGAACAAGCAGGGTGAGTTTTAAGATCAGCAGTTTGGAATGAATGAAATGCAGGATGAGTGTGGAAAAATGAGGTGAGGAGTCAGGTCATGGGTATCTGAATACAAAGTTCAACTGGGAGATTTATCTTAAGGGCAAACGCTGGGTATGGACAGCTTCAAGAGCAGGAGCTGACGGTAACCCAGATTTCTGGCTCAGACCATGGGCTGGGTTTAAGGGCTATCGTAGAGGGGCAGCACAGCTGGGGGAAATGAGTTCAGGAGACTGCAAAGGTCTGGAAGGCAGCTGGGCTCTCAGGCCTGGCACCTATCCCTGGAAGAGGATTCTTCCTTGCCATTCTCCTGAGCCCTCCAGAATTCACAGCCTGCCTCCTTCCTCCAAGAGGCCTTCCTCGTTTTCCTGCTCTTTTGTCCTGCAGCTCATAGACTCAACTGCCTGAGTCCCTTAGCAATGGGTCCGATTTTGCTATGGGAAGTGACCTGTTCGGCCACGCACAAGTCCCCTACCCTGGCAGCGGGGGCCCAAATCACTCGGTCACCAGGCTGAGATTGCAGGGTGAATCAGTGTGGGGCGGGGCACTTGTCGCTCGGCACCTGCTGAAGCAGGAGTCGGGGCCAGACAGGAAACCCATGAGAATGGGAGGGAGGGATTGTGGCGTCACAACGCCTAGGAAATAGTCGATCGAAGGCGCTTCAAAATTCTAGGGAACAAGGGGGAAGATTCCTGCTCAGTCCGAGAAACGCAGGCGTGCTGACTTTGCCCTCCTCCTTTGCCATGGCTGCCTGAGTACGGATTCTTGTCAACAGTGAGCGGCTCAACCGCAACCTCCTATAGCCGAGGCCGTAAACGGCCCTCCTAGGGGCACTAGCTCCGTTAAAGCGCGATCTGACTCGCCCAGCCTCCAGTCCGTCAAAGGGGACGCGGAACCTGACCGAGCCTTCCCATCCCTTAATCTGCTGCTTTACCTGGTCTCTTTTGTCGATGCAACGCCAGCTATGGGCGCCTGAAGAAAGCGAGAGCTCAATTAGGTCTCTAGCAACCCACCAAGCCAAAAACCTAACCGGCGAGAAAAAACCGGTTTCCACCCCGCAACCGCAGGGCATTTTGGGAGTCGCCTCTAGCCACCCGCAGGTCAGGAGCGAGACGCATGCGCCTTAGATGCCGCAGCGCGCCCTAGCGGCCTGGCGGGGCCTCTGCACAGCTGCCGTAGTCCATAGCAACCGGAAGAGGTCGCTTCCGGCCCGGGTGGGATAGAACTCGGGGGTGTGAGTCCGAGTCGTTTGGAGGTCGTTGATCGGTTTGACGCATCGGGAAACTGAGGCTTGGGGAGAAGATTAGGCCCTGGGGACCGTTGGGGCTTTCTCTGGTGCCCCAGTGCGTGGAGTTTGTGCTCGGCGGCTCGCATTTGACAGAGCGGGAATTGAGGGAGGGAGGGGGCGGGTCCCTCCACAGTGGCCTTTTCCTCTGGGTAAAAAAATCAGTCCTTATCTTATTACAAAGGAGAAATGAGGGCAATGAAAATAACTTACAATAAGAGATTTTACATTTCACTATGTAAAAGCTCAGACTGGATTACACCCGATCATGCTTACACCTAACTTAAACTGATTACATTTGGATTTAATAAAACACAATATTCAAATAGATTTTGCCAATGGCTTGTGTTTGACATCTTAAGTCGAAGGCTAAATGTATTTGTATAAAAGCATGTAGTCACTGTGACAGCTATAAATGTAGACACCTATGGATGGGTGTGTTCTGGTGACTAACCCTCAGTGAGAAGGGTCGACTGTGACTTTCCGAAATAGTGAACAAAAGAAAACATAACTTCCCTTGTTAACCTGGAATATGCATTTCTGGATGATATACATTCTATGTTAAAATGAAGGAAAAGTCCTTGTCTTTGTACGTCAAACAGGTTACAACAGGTGTTTGCCACCCCCCCCCCCCCGCAAAAGGTTTGCAGGATGTTGGAAAGCTGTGCAGACCTGAGGACGATTTGCAGTGAATTATTCTGTGCATGGCAAGCAGCCCAGATCTCTGCTCCCTGCTCCCTACAGGCTCGTAGTGTCCCCCCAGTCCTGTGACCCTCAATAACACCCACACAAATCTCCACTCTGCTCTTTGGAAAACCACTGATGTATCCGGTCAAATAACTTTTGCCAGTATTTCCTGTACATGCTGGGCACTTTCGGTGGGGAGGCCTAGTGTGGTGAAGAGGACAGAGCCCTTCCCCTTCTGAGGTTGGCTCCGTTAGGCGAAAATACCCAGATATTAATCGTATACTGTGATAAATAGCTTGCCAATACAGGCAGTTCAAGTCAGGGTTGGGAATAAAAGAAGACCCAGCCCACTAGCAGAGGGTCCCACGACCCAGCAAACAGCAGAGAAGTAGCACTGGAGCTGAGCTGTGAAAGAGCTCCAGGTGGAGCAGGGCAGGGTGCCAGGCAGAGGGACCGGCGTGATTGGAATAGGTCCGGGGTCCCTGGCGCACAGCGGCCACGCAAATGCTGCGTGTGAATGGATGGATGATCGGGTGAGACGCAGAGCATGTTTGCAGGCAGGGAGTTGTTCCCCACTGTATCACCACCTGCTGACAGGCAGGGGAATGCCGACTTCTTTATTTTGCCCAGAGCCCCAAACTGAGTTGGTGGCCATGGTGAAAGTCACACAGAAGTGGAGGAAGGGCTGCATGGTCCTGGCCTGGGAGTGATTTCCAGGAAGTGCATCTTTGATTCTGCTCTCCCAGAGGGCAGCTGCTAAAAATACCACCGCTCTGCGGCATCAGCCTTGGAAAAAAACAGGTCAGGGGTGGCCTCTTACTTTCACATCTGCCCGACATGCATGATCCGGGTGGCATGGCATGCTTTGGCAGATGGTACCTCCTGAGAACTGTCTCAAGCATGTGCCCAGAGTATGTGCACAGTGGGAAAGTGGGGAAGGCCCCTGCGGGTCTAAAGGAGATCAGAGTCAGTGTCCGTTTCCCCCTAAGTCAATCTCTGACTTCATAAGATAATCATTTCTGCCCCGAAGGCCAGCGTGGGGAAAGGATCTGGAACTACCTGCCTCCAGGAGCCGAGCAGGCCGTGCAGATCTGCCGGGTGGGTGCTCAGGGAGCTCAGACGGCCGTGTAGCCCCATCTAGGAGGCGGGCAGCAGTGCAGCCCTGGCGCAGTGTTGTTTGCATAACAGTTGCTCTTGCATTGCCAGATATTTTTGTTTTTCAATACAGTTAGAAGTGAAGAATTTTATGTTTCCATATTTTAAACTGTTGGCACTAATTAAATAAAAAACAAATAGCAAGACTGTGAGCCTCGGCCGGGTGGCTCGGTTGGTAGGAGTCCTTTGGTGTCCCAGACACCAAAGATTGTGGGTTTCATCCCCGGTCAGGGCACGTGCCTAGGTTGAGGTTTTGATCCCTGGTTGGGGCATGTAAGGAAGGCAACCGAACCATGTTTCTCTCTCTCTCTCTCCCTCTCCTTTTTCTCTCTCTAAAACCAGTAAACTTATCCTTGGGTGAGAATTAAAAAGAAAAAAAAAAGACCGTGAGAGGCTCACAGAACACATTTGAGACCTCCAGGCCTTGTTTCCATCCTAGGAAGGTATGTGTCCTGAGGACATCAGAGTTTTGCCTCAAAGGAAAAAAGTGAGAGCCCAGGCAGAATTATTGCTTCTGGCAATACTACTGAGTTAATGTCCATGCTGGGGTTGGGGTTTCTGCGGCAAATGAGAAGGCCCCAGTTCCTGCCCTTTTGGAACTCCCAGTCAAACAAGGTAGATGGACAAGTGAAGAGGCAACTACAAGAATAGTGAATAATTAGCGAGAGTAAGGACATGGGGTGGGGGCGGGGGCGGGGGCGGGGGTGGGGGGAGAGCGCACAAACCGAGGCAAGTTTCCTGCAAGAAGAGTGCTCTGATGCGGGCCATGAAAATGATGGGGAGTCAGCCAGGCAGCAGGAAGTGGGAGAGGTGGAGGAAGATTCCAGAGAGAGGCAGTAGCACATGCGAAGACCCAAGACATGAAAAAACTTGATGTATTCAAGGATATGAAAGTATCTCTTTCCTCACATTCCATCTAGGAACGAAATAGAGCAGCACATGTAATTCCTTTGAATTTCTTTGGGCACCATGCTGCCAGGTCCTACTGATTCTCCTCTGGGACAGTTAGGAGGTATTTAGTAAATGTTCATGGTGCTCCCCCAAATCCGCATCCCCTCCACCCTTAGGAACAAAGCTCTGTTGAGTTTGAAAATGTTGCAACAGCTCGTATGCCTGTTTTCAAGGATTTCTATTGGTCTTACTTCGCTGTGGCCAAGATCGAGGCTGGAAATGGGCGTTACATAGCAGGAACTCAAATGCCCAGAGGTGCCAAGGGGTGTGGGGAGTGGGGAGGAATTCTAAAGGGCCTGCTGCCTTTCTGTCGTAACGCCAAGTCCCCACCCACTCGACACTGAACTGATTCTGTGTGGTTGTGGGACGATGCTTTGCAAACCTGTAACATAGGCCAGTATGCAGCAGGTACTCACCATGCACCTGCTGGGGTGACTCTAGGTCTCGTAAGCATGTCTGATCTTTGAAACAGGGCAGGCAGGGACGTGGCCCCTAGTGCTGCTGTTCCTGACCAAGCATGTCCTGGGTGGTTCCCTGGGCCCGGATTCGAAAGCCCAGAATCAATTCAATGTGGTGGGGTGGAATTCTGCAAGGGTGGGGACCATGAGCCTGGGAACCAGAGAGACTTGGGTGCAAACCCCATTTCCAGAATGGGGGGACAATTATGCCTTTCTGATATCTTTCTCGTCCTGAGAGTCCTGAGTGGCAGGCAGATAGGAGGTGGGCATCCATGCCTCCTCTCATCCCTCCTTACCTCCTGTGCCCTGCAGGGTGTTTCAAGGAGCAGTCATGTCCACCTTGTACCCATCTCTGGAGGACCTGAAGGTGGACCAAGCCATTCAGGTAAGCCCCTAGGCCGTGTTAGCCTGGGCCCCCTGGTGCGGCCTTCAGGATGCCCCAGGGTAACTAAGGGAGACTTGTCTTGGAAGTTGGTGGGTGGTGGGGGCCCCAGGCATGCCGGCCACCACTGAGGGGTCTGCTGGGTGGGACGGGTGCCCGGAGGTCAGGGCAGCAGAGTTACAGCAAAAATGGCAAAGACCAAACAGCTTCAGACAGGCCTCTCTTGTGGCCGCTCTGTCCCAGCGCTTCCTCCGGGGTCGGGCCCCACGCTGCCGGGAGGGCGTTTGGCCTGTTCGGTCCCTTACCCCTTCTTCTTTCCATCCACCTGCGGGCCCTGTGGATTTTGGGACTTCGGAACTTTTCAACTAAGAACTTGGTTGGGACTTGGGCCTTAATGTTCCGGCTGCCTCAGGGAAAAAATGGGTCGTGACATTTGGTGGCTTATGGAGAATGACCATGGACCTCCCCTGGAAGTGTGGACATGTCCAGAGACCACATTTACACATGACCTGAGCTCCAGAGACACTCGCTGAGGCCCACCAGAACACCCGATGCCCTGATTCCCGGGTCCCAAAGGTTCCCCGGGGGCCGGTCCCAGACACAGCTGACCAGCCTGCCCGGCCCCCACCTCTCCCCAGGCCCAGGCTAGAGACACACCCAAGATGCCCACCTTGCCCACGCAGGAGACAGCTGCCCCGCAGCCGTCAGGTGAGTGAGCGGGGTGGGGGTGCTCCTGACTGAAAGTGACCTCTTCAGGCTGTTTCCAGGCACTGGTCTCTTGCCTGCCACTGTGCTGCACCCTCTGGGCAGGCCTCGCCTTCCCCAGAACAGGACACAGAGACAACTGTGGCTTAGTGAGGGCACACACTTTCCTGATTTGGGGCCCTCTCCTCTGGTGCTGCATGAGGGGGCCAGGATGTTTGTGGCGGCCCCTAGATTTGTTGGTGGCAGTCTTAATTCAGGTTTCGTTGCAGCAAACTTGAACTCAGACCCAACTCTCCCCCTCCTCCCTGGGCACACAGGCCGCGGAGCCGCCCTTGGGACAGACGCCTGCCTCCCTTCCGCTGTGGATTTCTTAAGAGCAGGGCCTCGTGGCCACAACGCCAGCCCTGTACTTTGTGTTGTCTGACCGGTGCCAAGTAAAGCCAGTTGAGCTAAATACCAAAGCGGTACATGAGGAACTCGGTGTCCCAGGCTGCTCCTGGGCAAGGCAGACAGCCGCCCTTCAGACCTTCTGAGGAGAGGACCACATCACCAGCGGGTGTCCCTGCTTCCTTTGCCACAGCGGCCGCGCTCCGGGCACACACAGTGTTCCCTAGGGTACACCGCACTCCCGGGAACTGAGGGCGTTCCCATGCTCTGTCTCTCGAAATCGAGTGACTGCGTTGGAGCCAGGCAGGTGTGGCTAAGCTCTGTGCTTGAGTAACACCTTTCTCCTTCCTTCTTTCCTTCCCATCAGTTTTGTACCCCAACCTGGCGGAACTGGAAAATTATATGGGTCTTTCCCTCTCCAGCCAAGAAGTCCAACAGAACCTGCCTCAGATTCCAGACGCTGTCAGTGTAGGTACCTGTCTCTTGCCGGACGTGGGCACAGGCCTTCCAACCCTCCCTCCTCTCTTGGTCTTGCGGCTCTGTTTCTTGGTGCCACTTTTCATTCTTAGCCTTTGTTTTAAGTGCTGTGGAATTTCATGGCGTCCAGTGGGCCCTGGGGTTGGAGGGCCACTGTCTGCCCTTTGACTGTTGGCTTCTGGCCGCTGAACGAGAAGGGAGGACGTTCAACCCAGCCTGAGTCTGGGGGCTTCTCCTGCAGGGCTGCCTGTGACTGGGGAGCGGCTGCACGGACAGGCAGAGGGGAGGGGAGGAGCTGGCACCTAGCCCTGGTCCCCGCATTAAACAATACCGCCTGGTGCCTGCTCTCCGTGGCTCGGGGAGCAAAAGACACCCTGACACAGAAACACTTTGGAACTGTGTTTGCTTTCGAACTCAGTCCCCACGAACGCCCCTGCCAGCTAGCTCCGGGTCCCCGAGGCCACTTGTCATCCCGAGCCCCTGAAAACCAATGGCAAAGTGCAAGGGGGAGTCTCGAGGAGTCTGGAGGATTTCATGGAGGTGGCAGGAGGGATAGTGAGAAGTGCCACAGCCACACACAAAGCCCCCGACAAACGAGAATCTCACAGGAGAACATCGACAAGGATGAGCACGTGTGGGGCCCCAAGAAAAACTGGGGACCCCCTGGGGTGTTCCTCTGAATGACCCCTAGATAGTCATGCTGTGAAATGCAAACAGGAAGCAAAGAAGGTCATGTGTCTGCAGTTCAACCTTAACTCACCGATTTAAGTATCTCTATTCCAATGTTAGGATATAAATGTACATGACCTAAGTTATGATAAAAATATGACAGCTGAATGCATTTTATAATATTTAAAAGTTTTGTTTTTATCTTCAGCTTTTCGTTTTTAAATGCTCATAGATTCTCAGGCAGTCGCAGAGCACAGGGAAGGGCACCGCAGATGGTACCCTGTGCCCAGTCTCCGGGAGGGCGGCAGTCTCCACAGCGAGAGTCCGCTATCTGGGCAGCCGCCGCCACCGGTTCGGCATGTGCGCGTGTCAGAGTTCTCTGTCGTTTTACCTCCCGCACAGTCACGCGACCCACGCACAATCAGCGTAGCCCCTCACCCGAAGGTCGCCCACAAGCTGCCCGTCATACTCAGGCCCGCCCTCCCCCCACCATCCCCAGCCCCGGGCAGCCACTCCTCTGCTTTCTGTCCCTATGCTTTGGGGTCTCAGGGTGCCACGGAAGTGGAATCCTGTAGTGCGCGGCCTTTTCGGACGGGCTTTTTCACTCAGCACAACTCCCCGGACACCTTTCCGGGCGGCCGTGCGCATCAGTAGTGTGCCCCTTTTCCCGCTGCGCGGTGCCCCATGGTGCGGACGGACTGCCCTTCGTCTAACCTGCGGAGGGACACTGCAGTTGTGTCCCGGGTGGGGTTACTACAAATGCAGGGTTTTGTATGAACATAAGTTTTCATTTTTCTGGGGTAAATGCCCAGGCGTGCAATTGCTGGGTTGAATGATAAATGTATGTTTCAGTTCTTAAAGAGACAGCTAAACTATTTCTAGAGTGGCTTGACCGTTTTATTTTCCTGTCGGTAGCACACGAGAGCGCCAGTGCCTTCCCACGCTGGACAGGATTTGGTGTGATCCCTGTTTTTAGCTTTAGCCGTTATCATGGGCGAAACGATGTCTCGTCGTGGTCTTAATTTGCTTTTGCCTCGTGGCTGGTGATGCTGAACATCTTCTCCTGATTTTCTTGGCCATGCATATATTCCTTTCAGTAAAATGTTTCCTCATTTCTTTTATTTTCTAAATGGATTGTATGCTTTTGAAAGTCAAGTTTTGAGAATTCTTTATTCTGGAGACCTTCATGGCTACATTATCTCACGATATGTGGTTTGTAAATATTTTCTCCCAGAGTGTAGCTTCTCTTTCGTCCTATTAAAAGAGTCTCTCGCAAGGCAGAAGTTTTTCATTTTGGTGGGGTCCAGTGTATTGACTTTTTTCTTTTGTGAGTCATGATTTGCTGTCCTAAGAAATTTTCACTAAGCCCTACGTCCTGAAGATTTTTTCCTTTATTTTCTCCTAAAACTGTTACAGCGTCATGCTTTGCATTTAAATTTATGGTTGAATTTGGGTTAATTTTTATATAAGGGGTGAGGTGTAGGTCACGATTCATATTTTTCCCTGTGGATGTCCTATTGCTGCTGTGCCCCTTGTGGAAAAGGCTCCTCTTTCTCCGCCGAACTGCTCCGGCCCCTCTGTGCACACACAGCTGGCCTGGCTGGTGTGAGGCTGTTTCTGGATTCTCCGTTCTGTCCCATTCGGGCCCCTTCCTTCACCAGTGCCCACGCACTGGTATAGGGTACGCTTTAACATTTGGTTGTGTCTCCCCACAGTATCCTTTTTGTCGGGATAGTTTTAGCTGTTCTAGCTCCTTTGTCTTTTCATATAGTCCAGAATAACCTTGCCTGACCCTGGAAAACATCTGGTAGGTATTTTGATAGGAATTGCATTAAATCTGTATTATCAATTTGGGGACATCTGACAGCTTTACTTTGTTCTTTCAATCCACGAATGCAGACTGTCTCTGCATTTATTTGTATCATTTTTGGGATCTTTCACCAGTGTTTGTCAGTTCCGGCACACGCTCTACAAACTCATTGTCAGTATGTTGGAGGACACTTGAATTTTGTGTGTTGATCTTGTTCCCTGTGACCTCGCTGAATTCACTTACTAGCTCTGGGAGTTTGTTCATAGATTCCTTGACATTTTCTAGTAGGTCATAATGTCACCTGCAAATAGGGACCATCTTCTTTTTTCTTTTCCAACCTGTAGGCCCCCTCCCCCTCCCCTCCCTCCCCTCCCCTCCCCTCCCCTCCCCTCCCCTCCCCTCCCTCCCCCTCCCTCCCCTCCCCCTCCCTCTTCTCTTCTCTTCTCTTCTCTTCTCTTCTCTTCTTTCTCTTCTCTTCTTTATTTTCTTGCCTTATTGCCCTGGCTAGTTCTTCTGGTGCTATACTTAATAGTAGCGGTGCGCTTGGGCATCTTGCCTTGTTCTGAATCTCCAGGGGAAAGCATTTATTCATTTTTACACTTTTAGCTTACATTTTTTTCAGAGGAAAACCAAATCCAGCTCAGTTTTGTCATTGATCACTACTGCTATAAAATATTTCTTTTATTTTTATGTGAATTTCAAAGAAGCCTTTTCCTGTCAATCAGCCTTGGAAAACGGGGGCCTCTTTTCTGTATTGTGCCTGGCTGTTTTCAAGAGCATAGGCTTTGGTGCCCCCTAGTGGCTTCATGGAGTCATGTTTCTCGGCCTCAGCAGAGAAGCGCGTGAACTGCGGGTGGGATGGGCCCCAGGGACTATGGAATCCTCCTTTCCTCATCCTTCCTGGGCCCAGGGGGCTGACTGACCCTTTCCTTCCCTGATGTCTGCAGACGGTGGTCTCTGGCCCCTTGCCCGGTCAGGTGGTGGCACCGGTGTCCGGGAACAACCTGGGTGTGCGGCGTGCGGAGATCAAGCCCGGGGTGCGGGAGATCCATCTATGCAAGGATGAGCGTGGCAAGACCGGGCTGCGGCTGCGGGCCATCGACAAGGTGGGGCTGGGGGCGGGGCAGGAGCGGAGGGCGATGCGCGAGCAGGACAGCGCACTTAGCAGCCTGAGCCGCCCGAGCCCGGAGAGGGCAGCGCGGGATGGGGGCGGAGTGGTCGTCCACAGTGAGGAAGATGCAGTGTGCTGGGAGCAAGGCCCTCCTAACTCCCAAGCCCAGGCTCTTCCTCTCAACCCCTCCCCGAAGGCTCACGGCTGGTACTGGATTGTAGCAGAGACCTGCCACCAGCCTCTCGGGGGCTCCTCCTTGCTAGTTGCTCCCAGCCTCCCTTCCGCTGTCCCCCAGTTCACAGGGGTCTGCTGCCAGCGGGCTGTAGGGTCTTCCTGCCATTGTGAGAGGCTGTGCAGTCTAGTGGTTGTGGGTGCATCCTCCAGCCAGGGTTGAACTTCGGACTCAGCTGCTCTCTAGCTGTGTGGCCTGGAGTGTTTCCTCCCCGGGATGATGGGGTGACGAGCGCACCTGCTGGCGGGCGGTAGTCCCAGTACCCTGTAGGCCGGGAGAACCAGGAGGGAAACAACAGCTGGGAGGAGAGACCTGGGCTCCGGGTGAGGGGAGCTGACTGGGACCCTGCCTCTCCTAGGGGCTCTTTGTGCAGCTGGTACAGGCCAACACCCCGGCATCCCTTGTGGGGCTGCGCTTTGGAGACCAGATCCTGCAGATTGATGGGCGAGACTGTGCCGGGTGGAGCGCAGACAAGGCCCACCGCGTGGTGAAGAAGGCATCAGCCGAGAAGATCGTCATGGTCGTTCGGGACAGGTGAGCAGCCAGTTGCAGAAGCCTCTCTGTTCGCCTCCAGCCATGTCCCAGGTCCAACCCACTGTCCCTTCCCGGCAGGCCGTTCCAGCGGACGGTCACCATGCACAAGGATGGCACCGGCCACGTGGGCTTCGTCATCAAGAAGGGGAAGGTGGTCTCTATAGTCAAAGGCAGTTCTGCGGCCCGCAACGGGCTCCTCACCAACCACTACGTGTGTGAAGTGAATGGGCAGAATGTGATCGGGCTGAAGGTAGGCCGGCGGCCGGGCTCCGCCCCAGGACTGCAGGGGCAGGGAGACGGCTGGGTGGTGGGAGGGCCCGTGTCTGTGGGCAGGCTCCTGCTCCCATCTGAGCCTCAGCTTCTTCATCGGAGGTTGCTGCAAGGATTTAGTAAGGTAATAAGTACACAAAGCTTCGGGCACATAGTAAGTGCTCAATAAATATTAGTGTTGACATTAACACATGGAGGCCAATGACGTGGCAGAAACAGGAGGTGTGATGACCCGTGAAAGGACACAGGTGCCCAGGTGGCTACTGGCTGCATGAACACCTCCCTCCTTTGTGTGGTGCTTCTGTTTGCATCCTGGTTCACGTGACGGGAATATTTCAGAAATTGCTATTCGGAAACCCATCACCGGCTTCTGTTCATTTCTCGAGGGCGGTGAGCGAGTCGACTTTTATCTTTGAAAAATAAGGAGCCGGTGGTCTGGAGTCAGTGCTGTGGGTGTGGACTGCAGGGTGGGTGCCTTCAGGGAAGGGACCGTGGATGACGACGAGTCACGTGCCTTTTGGACTCTGGGCGAGTGAAAGTGATTTTATCCTGATTGGTTCTCCCCTGGACCAAGAGTGTCCCCATCCCAGGTGTAATTCAGATAAGGGTCCCTCTGCCTCCCGCAGCCAGGGCTTTGAGCTCACATAGCAGGGTTCCCCTGGCGAAAGTGGGCTGGGTGGTGCCATTCATTCCCCAGCTACCACAGCCTCTCAGGCCAGCCCCCCACCCCTCACAGGGGCCCTCCCCACGCCATTCCAGTCACATGGCTGCTTCCATGAGCTTGACAGTCACCCCCACCTCCCCTGGAGGCCGGTTCTGGTGGTTCAGGAAGTTCTTCCTCAGGTCTGTCCAAGGTCCCACCTCCTGCATCTCCCCCCTCAGGGATCAGACAGGACAATCCAGAGGGAACCCAATATAAGACTAAAATGCTGAGTACACTAATACCAATGCTGAGCAGCCGGCTCTTTCAGAGAGTGGTGAATGCACCCTTTCAAAGCATTACAGCTCACTGACCCTAACGGCTGAGGGGCAGCCATTCTACGCGTGTCGCCGACCCTCTCCTTTCCGGCGGCTCCAGGCTTCACTATGGATTTACCGGCTATCCCGCCAAACCACAGTTGTGGTGAGGCGCTCACGACGGGCTGGTCCCTTTTCTGAATGGCCCCCAACAGTTATGCTTCCTGAGGTTATCTTTTTGAAGTTTATCTGCTTTCACTCTGGCCATCACTAGTTCTGCCTGGCCCGTTTCCTCCCACGTATCCTAGGACAGCTAAGAAAACACAAACCAAGTTAGAGAACCGAGTAAAGTCAAGGGCGTGAGGCTCTGAGCGAGGGCCAGAGGCCCTGCTGCTGCCGTCATGTCAGCGTTTGGCCTGCTTGGCGTACTTTGTGTGGAAACCCTTGTTTCCTGTGCTTCCCGGGATCTCAGGCCTTTGTCTTAGCCCTGGTGAACAAATGGAAGAGGGAGACATTCCCCGTGGGGTCAGCTCAGGCTGGCCGGCCGGCAGGGGCCAGGCGGGTGGAGGGTGTCCCCGATGTCCCCCGCTGCCTGGTTGTTCTCTTCCCGCTTTGGAGCCAGAATCCCATTGTGATGGGGCCAGGGAGATGGGATTGAAGACGGGGCCGCAGATGGGGCCTGGTGAGATTCTGGGGCCTGAGTGGGGGAGGGGAGGAGGGCAGTAACGCTTGTAAGGCCCCGTTACAGGCCAGGCCGCTGGGACTGGCCCCCAAGGTGAGGGTGGGGAGCGGCATGCTCCCTCTACCACGGGGGTCCTCGGGGAGGGGCCGCATTCTTGCTCCAGCAGAGCCACCCTTGCGTGTCTGCCCGGGACTCTCACTGGAGGGGCGGCCGACCCCTGCAATGCAGGTGGCAATGGCGTCCCCTAGCAGGCGCCACACTGGCCCCTCCACAGAGTTGCCTCTGGGTCCCAGGGTGACCACTCACTTGCCTCCTCTGTAGGACAAAAAGGTCACAGAGATCCTGGCCATGGCTGGGAACGTTGTCACCCTGACCATCATCCCGACTGTGGTCTACGAGCACATGGTCAAAAAGTAAGGCGGCCCCTCCCCCTCCCCCCCTCACCTCCCCACCCCTCCGCTGCCCAGCTTCCTCCAGGCTCACGCAGTGTGCCGCCCCGCCTGCCCTCCCCTACCCCACCCTCCCTCCTCGGTGGCTGGTGGCTCCTGGTGATTTGCAAATCTTAGAATCAGAGTGGAGGCCCACGTGGGGTGCACAGGCTGTGGGGAGGAGGGGAAGGCACTGGCAGTTCTTGCCACTGTCACCATTGCCATTTGCAGGTTGTCCCCGACCCTGCTCCACCACGGCATGGACCACTCCGTTCCAGATGTCTGAAGTCACGGGAGGGCAGCACGGCCCTCCCACCCTCCGGCAGGGAAGGGAGAGGCCTGCTGCCTGGGGGTGCACACAGGGGTGTGTTCCAGCTGGGGTGACATCGGATTGCGTCGCCTGTCATTCATGACACAGGCCTCCTCAGAGCCTCAGACTCCCGACAGCACTAAGGCAGGGCAGCGCCCGCGGGCAGCCTGCTCTCCAAGCGGTTGAAATGCATGGCACACTGGCAGGCCGGCCAGGCCTCTGGCAGTTGCAGCGTGGTCCCTCCCAAGATGCTGCCTCTGCAAGAAAGACAGTCCCACGTGCTGAGAACAGAAACACGTTCTTTGTACGAGGTTTTTCTTTTTCCTCCACTCGATCTTGGTCACACACTGTACATAGTTATAACTCCTGTCTTTTGAATAAAGCTTTGGTTTTAAATAAAATTCCTTCCTGAGAAGTAATTGAAAATCCCAGAATTTTGGTCCCGTGACATGCCAGGGCTGGTTTTCTTTTAGGCAAGTGTGAGCCCAAGGCCTTTTCTCCGAACTGCCTCTGAGTGCAGTGCTTGGCTCTGTGTACGCACTCGCGCCCCCCGCCCCCGCAAGTTTGAGGGGGGCGGGGCCTAGAGCGAGGGACCCATGTGGGGCTCTGGAGGGGGGGCAGCAGTGCTCCAGAGCCTGCCCCCCGCACCCCCCCCCACTCGCCACCGCCGAAGACTGCTTCTGCAGGTGCCGCAGGGGCGCGAGAACTTCAGGCGTGCCTGAGAGGAGGGCGCCCCGGCTGCCCAGAGCAGCTGCGCGGCAGAGCTGAACCAGCACGCGGCTCTCCCGTTCCCTTGACCTGGGAAGAGATCTCTGCTTCTCGGCGTCTCCCAGGTGCACGTTCTGCCTCCTGCACAGGTGGGAGCAGCTTGAGCCTGGTTCGCCGCCCTGCCGCCTCAGGAGAATGGCCATATAAAGAAATCAGGCTGAGGGTTCTGTGTGTTTTCATGCTTTAATTCGGAGCTGTCTGCTGCAGGGACAGCTCTGTCTGAACAGAAGGACAAAGGAGACAAAAGTGACTACCCCTCCGTCCCTCCCCCCTTCCCGATCCCCCGATTCTGTCGAGGGGATGGCGGAACGTAAGAGTGCCCTGGGACGTGTCTGCACTGTGCCCCTAGGTCACCGAGGGGCTCATGAGGTCACTGGGCAGAGGCCCCGCAGTAGACCTTTGCCCCAGAACCTGGTCACTTGCCCACCCGTCCCTGCGGCGCCGTCAGACACCCTGCGCACGTGGGGATTGGGAAGGGTGTACAGTGAAAAGCTAAGGTGTCAGTGAACTCCGCTCGAGGCCAGCTCTGTGTGCAGAGTCCCAGCCTCGATGCTGGCGCCTGCCTGAGCCCGGACCGGAGAAGCAGCGGCAGGGCCGCTCTGGCCTGGAGGCTACAGTTAAGAAGCCACTTCTGGCCTTTGGGCTCCAAGGGACCAGCAGTCCCAGAAAGCAGCTCCTGGAAACACTGTCCCTTAGGATCCAATCAGCTCTGGCCGAGGCTAGGGAAGTGGAGGCCCCAGAGATTTCTGCTCCTGGAGCCGAGGGCAAGGGGGGAGGGTCACAGGCCGACAGGAGGAGGTATTAAGCAGGTATCTGGAGGATGAGCGCTCCACAGCCCGCCCCGGCCTTGCCCTCCAGTCCCACATTCCGTGCCCTGCACAGTCGGGGACAGGCTGCCGCCCCTCCGCCGCCTGGAGCTGCACATTTTGCATAGATGCAGACACTGAGCACACACACGCACACACATGGGAGCCCTCAGGGCCCCTGACCGCCAGGGTCCCAGGGTCTGCCCCAGGGCTGGCTGGTAAGCTACGTCCTCCACAAACACGAAGAAGAAAAGCCTGTCAAAGGCCCCACCAGCCCCCAGCCCCCAAAGAGAGGACCCTCAATGCTGTGGGCGAGGCCCCAGGGCCCAGACAGGCAGGTCTCCGGCTGGAGCAGGCTTGCGGGGTGGCAGCTGGCCCCACTCACCTCACCGGGAGGCCTGGGGTCCAAGCCCTGGCCAGACCTTCGCCAGTGGCTTCTCCAGCAGCCGGGACAGCGTGGACTGTGGCCCCAGCCCCGACCACATCCACCAAAACACAGGACACAACAGGAAGGCCACAGACAGCAAGACGCGGACGGGAGCGGAGGGGCTGTGCAGCTCCAGCAAATGCCGGCGGTGGAGAACAGAGTTTATGTTGTCAAGTAGAGTCATACGTTTATTTTCTCAGCAAAGCTTTGACTACTTCTAAGGAGACACTGCGCAGCTCCGTGAGCTCACGGCACAGGATGCTGGTGCCGCGGCCGGTCCCGGCTTGGCTTTGGATTGGGTTTGCCCGCTGCCCCTCTGTGCCATGACCCCAGCACCCTCGGGGCAGCCCTGGCCCGGCCCCAGGAGTTCGGTTTTGTTCGGCTGGGGCGGGGGCGCTCCACAGAGGATGGCTGGTCTGAGGCCCCGGCCGAGGAGGGGGGCTTCGGAGGCACAAGCGCGTGGCAGAGGGGCTGCTGCCCCCATGGCTGGGCGGCTGCCCACTCCCGGTGCATGCAGGCGCCCCCCCCTCGAGGGGGGGGCACGGGAAGGAAGGGCACAGAGCCCACAAGTCAGGAGATGGCTGCTGGAGCAGCGGGGGTGGGCAAGCAACCTTGGCAGAGAACCAGAGTGGCCCCTAGGCCCGAGGGGTGGGTAGGACACAGGGTCCCACCGACCCCCCTAAATGTGGGGCCTGACTCTGAAGAGCGGATGGGACAACTGGACGGGTGGAAACCTGCCGGGAGAAACGATGGGATCTGCTTTGTAACAATGGTAGTAGACTGTCAGCAGCTTTGCTGGGGGCCCAGATGGGGTCCCGGGGAAGGAGGGAGGACAGACAGTGAAGCGTCCCGGGCCTCCTGGGCTCCGGCTGGGAGTGGGGGGCTGCAGGGCTCCCGCCGGCCCCGCCCCACCCCAACCCGGGACAGGTCCCAGGGCACCTGCTTTGGCCTGGACCCATCTCGCCATTCGTCCTGCCAGAAATCCCCCCTAAGGCAGAAAAGTCTAAGAGTCAGGAACCCTCCCCCTAGAAAGTAAGCAGCCAACTTGCAGGAGATCCGGGGATGCATGGGAACCAAGCCCCAAAGTGAACATAGTGCAAAGCAGAAGTTGGTCCTGAGGCCCCTGAGAAAGTCAGGGTGAGCTCCGGGGGCCGTCGTGGCCTCTGACCTTCCGCAGCAGCCGAGGACTGCTGAGCCCAGCCCGGCCTCCCAGGCCGCAGGGCCCCACCTCCACAGGCCGGGGCGGGAGGACGGAGCCCTGAGCTGCCAAGCCCGCCCCCTCTCCCTGCGCCGGCCGCTGGCGGCAAACTCTCTGGAGGGGAGCCTTCCTACCCCAGCACCGAGCCTGCTTGGCTTAGTGTTCAGAGAAAGAATCACCAGAAACACCCAGGAGCGCCGGGGGGGGGGGGAGGAATGGATCGTGGGGTAGGTCTGGGACAGACAGACAGACAGACACAGAGCCCACACTTCCCTCTGCCACCTCTTGCCCATCATGGGCTTTCCAGCCGAGCAGGGGCAGACCGAGGAGGCCGGGGCTCCAGCCCAGGCCCGGCAGTTCCAGACCCGGCTCGGAGTCCTGGGTCAGGTGCCTGTACTTTTTGGGTCACAGCTGCTTCTTCTGAGGGGGTAACGCCGCCCTGAAGCTGGGCTGAGGGCGAGGGGAGGTGTGGAGCAATCAGGGGACTGAGCAGGATGGGGGGGCGGGGGCAGGGCAGCCGAGGCCAGCCTCCCCAGATCAATATACCAGAGGCTTCCTGAGCAGCGGCTGCCCTTGTGAGGGGCCAAGTGGAAGGGGCTGGGGTGAGGACCTCGCCAGCTCTCCCCCCCGCCCCCGCACTCTGTCCCACCGTGTGCCTCCCTGCCCTCCTCTCCTGTCCAAGCTGTGGGATGGTCTCCACCAACCCCCTGACTCCCAGCCCCCAGCACTGCTAACATCCTGAAAGAACCACTTCCAAATCAAAAACTAAATAAATAAGATGATGTCCCACGGGAATGTGTGAGAGGGAGGACGGCACCCCTACAATCAGCGGTCAGGCCACCGAGCCACTGGCTGGACCGGCCTCCTCAGAGCTGGGAGCCGCCACCGCCTGCCGTGCTGGGGCCAAGGGAGCGGCAGCTGATCCTGCGGATGGAGTGCAAGGCCACGGTGCAGCAGCCCCGCAGGAGGGAGCTGATGTTGTAAATGGGCTGGCCCTGGCGCCGCTGGGAGCGGCAGAGCCAGGCCACTGTGGGCACAGCCGGCACCACCACGGCCAGCAGATCCACAATGTAGTGGCGGCTCCAGTAGCTCTTAGGCTCCTTCTCAGCGGAAGCCGCCTCCTCCTCCTCTTCCACGGGGCACGCCACGCTCACCGAAAGGCGGGAGTTGGGGTTGGTGCCAGGCCGGTGCGGGGTTGGCCCACGAGTGATGGGCTCTGGGACCTCAAGCTCATCGCCCACCGTCACCACCACTGCTGAGCTGGGGTCTCTGGGCCCTGGGGGGTGGGGATCCGGCTCCAGGCACCTGTCCCCTGACAGGGGACCTGCCCCGCAGACCTGGGCCACGGCCACCTTCTCCAGGATGGCGTCTGGGTCAGGCTGGTACTGCACGAGGTCTGTCTGGATGGCGCGCTCCTGCATGCAGCTGGCCTGCACGCCGGCCTCCGTGCCGCAGAGCAGCTTCGCGTAGGCGCTGCTGGCCGGGAAGCGGGGAGCCAGGCTGAAGGAGCTGTTCGGGGAGGCCTCCTCGGGGCCGCAGTCCACCCCCGAAGACAGCAGGCTGCTAGCCTCCAGCACATCCGTCCGGCTCATCGTGTCATCGTTTGCCACGAAGCCACTATCGGGCCCGTCCTCGGTGTAGGAGCCAGGGTGGTCCCCGGGGGGCCGGTCCCCACAGACGGCTGGGTCACTGAGCTTGGTGTAGGTGGAGCTGCGGGTGAGGGAGCGGGCAGGAGAGCCGCCGGCCGACTCCCCGGTGCCGTCCTCCTTGGCCGTGCCGTTCTGGGCCACCTCCATGCTGTGCAGCAGCGTCTCCAGCTTCTTGTTCTGGATGTTGATGTCCACGAAGTACTTCTGCAGCCCCTTGTCCTTGTCGATCAGGTTGTTCTTGACGGTGTCGATGACCTGCTTGAGCTGTTTGATCTCCTTGCGGGCTTCCTTCAGGGCCAGCTGGGCTTCCACGCGGTGGCACTCCTCCTCGATCCAGTCCTCCTGCATGCGCGACAGCTGCGTCTTCAGGTCGTCGATCTCCGAGTCCCTGCGGGCAGACGAGACACACGGGCTCACTGCCTCGCCTGCACCACCACCACCACCGAGGACCGGCACGCAGGGACTGGCACTGAGCTCGGGGGGGCCCGAGCTGTTGCCACAGAGAGCTAAACACAGGAGGCACCACTCCACGCCTCCCCCCTTCTTGTCTTTA